TGAAAATTTTAATGTATATCAAACACAGGCAAAACATGTATCTATTTCATTCATCAAAACTGTTTGTTTATAGAAAAAACACCAACCTGGATAGCTGTCAAACAATAGAACATATACTGAAAAAGACTACAATCAGATGAATTGAGTTAGACCCAAAGTTTACCTCTCCACAAACTCGTATAATTTATCTCAAAGCAATTTTGTTGATTAGATAACCTTCTATATTTAACATTTTGACACATATCAGGATGCAATACAACTTATCTTACGTTTATCTCAATCAGGATAACTAAATTCCTCCTCGTGTCAACCTCCCATGCTATTCAAGTGGCAGCCGATTGGTACCATTGTCCAAGTTAAATATTTAACCCACCATAACAAAGTATCCATGATAGATCTTATTCAAATCATTTTTAACAAATGTGTACAACTATATTCATTAAACATTCACACAGTCAATAATCAAAAATAATATCTACAAATTTTATTCATTGGTTTTAGATTTTTTGCTGGGTGCATAAAAAAGGAGAAGAAATCCCCCATGACATGATAAGATGTGTCAACCCCAACCATCTATGGAAAAATGTTTTATGTATACCAAATAACTGATCCTTTACACAATACTTGTAAAATTAGTTGGCAGCAGAGGATATCAAACAGAAAAGTCTTTCGTTGCTCGAGGTTTACTCTTTGTGAATGTTTAAATTTTACTTCAAATTGTAAGGAAATTATAATGAAAACTGAAACAAGCTCTAAATCTCATTCCTTAAATCAATGTATGAAATTAGGAAAGCATATCCCCATTAAGCATATTTTGAACATAGTCTTCCAGGGGGTTGACGAAGGTGGTGGGAAGCAAAGGGGTTTGACAGGGTGATGGCAAGCTAACAAGACAGTTTTTTATATGGTTATTTTATTTTCAATTGAAAATATAAGTATAATTGTCCTATAACAACCAAGGATGTAATTTTCCCAACAAGTAATGAAGTAACATATCCATGCTTTCATTGTTCCCACACAAACAGGGTACAGATGTTGATCCTACAAACAATTTGAGTTAATTATCACAAAAAAATCATTCACGTGTCTTGTTTCAATTAGACTTTGAATCTACAACATCCCTCTGAATTCATTTCTTTATTTCTTTTCTATCCATCAACAGAAAATTCATGTTCGTAGAGAGGGTGAATACTTCGATACGTTTACAAGACCTAAGCTCATGCATTAATAGGTTTATTATACTAATCAATACGTGACTGGACATAGAGCATGTTTCACTTAAAACTATATTTGGCAATAGAGAAGCATAAAAGTAACTTTTACTTCTTAAGCTTAGCCATATGTGCTCATGATTCCGGGGAGTTCAAGGGGATACTTGGGGCTGGCATGAGGGGTGGACCAGATGATGATTATTATTTTTCTTTCTTCAACTATTACTAATATTTGTTTAATTGAAGATAAGGATATAAAGAGTCTTACGAAACAAAATCTTTGATTATGTGCAAAACATGTGACGTCTAAATATTGAAGTGGCATAAAAAGTCTGCTGGAATGCGTATGGAGAGACACAAGTGGCATAAAAAATTGTATGAGAACCCAAGTGCTTATTTAAGCACAAAAAATGAACTATAGATGTAAATTTCCCTACAAGTAATAAAGTAGCTTCACTCTAGATGTACTCTGAAATTCTTTTACAGGTGATATTGAGAAAGGATGTTTCCACAGAATGGGTACAAAATTTAATCCCAAAAAGAAGCATTTTAATTATAGGAAATAATTAGGAACAATATTGTTTCCAAGTCTCGTTTCAGTTAGGCACTGGATCTCTAGCATCACCGATCACGTAAACATGCTTTTATTCATTTTTTAACCATTCACAGAAAAAACTGGTTTATAGAGAGATTTAATACTTTGATAAGTTCATACGATTCCATGACACTAAATCCCATTGTTATTATACTAAATACTCATCAATACATGACTAAGATTGAAATCTATCATCATTAAATTTTCTTCTGAACATAATCGCTCATATTTCAACACCATTTCATAATCATGATCAAAATGCATGAGCCCCATCCCCGTTAAACTAAACAATCTTAGAGAAAGATCTCAAAATAATCCACCAAATTACTCCCAATGAAATAGTCAATAACCTTTAGGGTCAACAAAGATGAGGCTCCAGCATGGAAATAGACACATTAAAGAAACCAATCTTCCGTATACATGACCCTATAAGCATTCATTTTTGTAACCGTTAAAACTATAGCATCACTCAGTACCTTTCAATCCAAAAGGAGAGGAGAAACTAAAAAAGAAACCTCTCTCTGTATACCAAAGTGAAATCACCAGAAAAAGGCAGTAATGCAATGCCAAAGCATTCCACTGGTGAGTTAATGTTTCTCTCCCTAAAGTTATTTTATTAGCAACAGAACCAGTCTCACAACTACACACGCATTCAAGAAATAGTATCACAACCATAAAACTGATAAAAAAGGATTCACACAATCTAAAGAGACTCAAACTGAAAAAATAGTTTCACGCTGAAATAAAAAGCCTTCCGTTGAAGTAAAGGCCTACAATTTCCAAGTCAAATTTCAGAAATTTCACGCTCCTAAATTCAATTAACTGGATTCAAAACTGAGACTAAATACAAAGAATTTAGGAATTAATGAATCATAATTGTACGACAGTTCTAGGTCACAAATCATCAAAAAATCTAAAAAAGTTAATTACTTTCAGTAAAAAAGCAACAAAACATCACCGACCCCATGTCAATTCAAAACCCTAAGTTTCCTAAAACATGAATTAACCACAAAATACCATCTTCCATTGAAAATATCCTTTCAAACTTGTCAAACTTACCAAAATCAACACTTCTAAACTAAATATTAAAAAAAAACTAATTAATATCAACAAAATAATGACCTTCAGAAGAAACCTCGGGCTTAATATTTCCATCTGCCATGGCCGAGGACGAGTCCTTTCGGTGGTGATCAGCTGCGACGACATTGTACGGAACCCTAGCAACCTGCTGCATCTGGCGCAGATTCAAATTGTACTGCCGCGGCTCGCTCTGCAACGAGAGCATGCTTTGATTCTTAAATTATCAATTCTTCAATTCAAAGTAGAAAATCCACCGGAAAGAAAAAGCGATCTCAATAAAAGGAGTAAAAGGGAAATTAATTTCAGAGGATATTCTTTCGGAATTGGAATTGGTTTATATTTGTTAGAATTCAAGGCGAGAAAATAGTCAAAAAGGAGCTAAACAAAATAAAAATCCGTTTGTTTGAAAGTCCACCTGTCGGTTACTTACAGAGCCTCTGTATATCTCTCGGTATTTCAAATGATAAATGTATACGCACATAATTATTGTAAATAATGAATTACATAAGTCGTGTGGAAAAAATTCGATCGTGGATGTAAAGTGTGAAAAAGTCAAAAATTGTAGACCACCGATAGATACGATCAATTATTTAATGTATTATATAAATGATTAAATACCTGTGGCGTGGTCATATTTCAAAATTGATAACTCATTTCTATAATATATTATAGTAATAAAATATTTTTCACTTATTTCGAATTTTTTGAGTTTTTAATCGTATATTCTCTAAAAATTTACTGTTCAAAAATTAATTATCTCCTAATAATGATTATTATCAATTTTTAAAATAATTTATAAAGAGAAATATCAGGATGTGCAACCATAATTGATATTTTTGGCACAATTATGTTACGTGTAATTTCTTTTTTACATCATGTCACGTGACAATATCACATTTGTCAGTTTTAAAAAAGGCACGCACTTACTACCTACATTTTTTGTGAAAACAATGGAGTGCCACAAACCATGTCAAATTTTGAATGTACATTGAACATTGTTCTTTTCACCCTACACTTGCCACATTTCTCCGGATCTTTCTCACGCGTGAATTATTTATAAAGTAAAGGTATAAGATACTGGATTAATGCTGCTTTAAATCAATATATCAATCTTACTTCGCCCTTGTTTGGGTTCCATCAAATCAAAAATATAAATTTTTTTTTTTCAATTTCATTTTTAAACACACATTTTTCAATAAAATAATATTACGAGTAAATTCAAAACATTCCCTTACTTTTTAATTACACTTTGTTTGGGAGAAATTTTAATCTAATTAAAATTGAAAATATAGTCGTTATTGGGTCTCACTTGTCTAATAAAAGTCAACAATAAGGACTAATTTTTCAATTTTAATCTCTACCAAACAAGCCAAGGTTTTGATTTTGAATTTCGATGTCTTTACAAGCAGGAAGAAGCCTCCTCTTATAAGGCAAAAATCGTCATCTTGGCTAAATTCATAGTCAAACGGGTAGAGGTGTCAAGACGGACGGGCCGGCCATGACCCGTGAAAACCGGCCCGTGAAAACCGGGACCGCGGGCCGAC